TGGTCTGCCGCGGGGCGCAGGCCCCTCCCGCGCGGCCGCCGCGCGTCGGGGATCCTCCCCGGCCCCCAGCGTCGCGGAACTCCCAGAGCGCGGGCGCGCGCCACAGCCGGCCCGCATCACAAGCATGCGCGGCAAGGATGCAAAGGGCCTCGGAGGGCCGAGTTTCGGGCGTTGGCAGAACCGGGTGTAGTGGAACCTGCATGGTTCAGTGATGTGTAGTGGGGGACGCCCCCCCCCGCCCCGTTCCACTAAACGGAGCTGTCGTCACCCGGAAAAACACCAGATGCGGCAGACCTGGTTTGGTGATTCTGGCCAAGTTAGGGGCTCCGGGGCCCTACTACTAACCGGATCCCCTCACCCGGGGTCCTGGCTATACCCGAAAGTTGACGTTTTTCGAGCGAGGTTGGCCAATGAAAGCTATTAAGGATGAGCCGAAGGGGGCAAGGCAGGTGGCCCATCCTTACTGCGCGGGTCGACTGTAGGGGCAGGTGGAATTGGGAAAGTGCCACCCGAAACATGGCGTCCATGCCGCTCGATGCGGCGGCGGAGCGAGTCTGCTCGGTAGGGAAACGGGACTCGCCGCCAATCCACGCTGCCCCAAGCCATGCCGGCGCGTTACAGAGCTCCCAAAGTGGACGAAGGAACCCCCGCTCCTGACGACCCACCAGGCCACCTCAACCCAACCAGAAATCGGCGTTGGGCCTGTCAACTTCCAGTGGGGGGACGCTCCAGAACATTGAGAAAACACGATGGAACCCGTACACACCCCAACCCGAAATCCCACCAGCCCTTCAGAAGTAGGTGGTCTAAGGTACTCTTCCAACCCCCCCTACTTCCCCTTCGGGGAGGGGTTCACCCCTCCCCCTTACCCCCCCTCCCCTGGACTTGGACGGGGACTTCCGCGAGGGGTTGGAGCGTCCAAGATAGCCAAAAGCGCATCAGAGAGCTCAAGATTACCTCCAAGATGGCTCAAGATGGCTCCCAAGATGCTCCAAAAGGATCCAAGAACGCTCCAAGACGGCGTCAGATTGCCACGGAGCCTCCCCAGGAGGCCGCCAAGAGGCCCCAACCCTTCCAAAACATATCGAACATCTGTGAAATGCGCCTTCTCGCCTGTTTGCTTTCGATGGCCTTCCGAAGTCTCACGACAGCTCCAAGAGGGCCCCAGAGAGCCCCAAGAGAGGCCCAAGACGACCCCGAGAGCGCCCAAGAGCGACCCAAGAGGCGACTTCTGGAGCTCCCGAGTAGGGACGCTAATTGGAGCCCCCCCCTTCTTTGATCGATGTCAGCCATGATGGCTCCAAGAGTGTCCCCAAGGCTCCTAAGAGCACCCCAAGAAGGCCCCAAGAGGCGACAAGGAGGCCCCAAAGCGGCGCCCGAGAGGCCTGCAAAAGGCTTCCAAGAGACCCCCAACAGGCCAAGAGGCTCGCGAGGTACGCAAGAGGCCCCTGAGACCGCTCAGAGGCCCCCAAGAGACGGCCCAAGACGTCCCCCAACTCGACTGGGCATCGTTTCTAGAGGCCTCCTAGGTGGGGTCGGATTAGATGGGATCGGAGGATCGCGCCGCATCGCCGATACATCGGCGATGTATCGACGATGCATCGGCGATGCATCGGCGATGCATTGGCGACGTCGGCGATGCATCGGCGCCGTCGGCGTGGAGAAAAAAAAGGCTCCGCATCGAGCCGTATCGCTGATGCATCGCCGATGCATCGGCGTTGCGGCGCGATCCTCCGACCCCATCTACTCGGACCCCATTGAGGAGGCCGGGAGTGTCTGGATGGGCTGGTGGGGTTTCGCGAAACGTCCAGACTTGGGGGGCTGTGGGCCCTTCGGGCTGGGCTGGGGCGGCTTGGCAAGTCGTGCTCTCCCCTGTGCCGATCTTCTGCCTCTCCCGCTCAACCCCCGCCCCTGCCCCTTGGTGTTGGGTCGGGCATGTCGTCCTACAGACGGAGCTTCGACGAAACATATCACATAGTCCACACATCTTCAGCAGCAGCCCAGACATGATGGCAAATCCGTCCCCAGCCTGTTCTTTGACTACCCTTGCATCTCCCCCCTGCAGAGGGACATGCCCGACTTGCCTTGTGGACGCCATGACAATGGACACTCTAACAATCCCAACATTGAATCAGAGATGTGTTGAACATGTGTGTAAAACTTGTGCCAGAAGTGCTTCAAGCATGCTTTTCTACAGATCAGGAACCTATTGAAAGCATCTCTGAGACACCTCCTCCTCCCCCTCCCCCTCCTCCTAGGAGGAGAAGGAGGGGGAGGGGGAGGAAACCTATTGAAAGTGTTTGGCAGCATGCTTCCTCTTCGTTGACCGCACTCCACGAGACCTGCCCCTTGGTGCCCGCGCGCGCCCCAGCTCGGCCCGCCGGCGCGCCGCTGCGGGAGGACCCGCGGGGCACACCCCCCTGCCGCAGGCGCCGCCCCGGCGAGGCGCGGGCGCCCGAGAGGCACCCCGAAGAGACAGGGAGCCCACCAAGGACGCACGCGCCCAGCTATCCTCCTCCTCCTCTCCTCCTCCTCCTCCTCCTCCATCTCCTCCCTCCTCCTCCTCCATCTCCTCCTCCTCCTCCTCCTCCTCCTCCTCCTCCTCCTCCTCCTCATCCATCTCCATCTCCATCTCCATCTCCATCTCCATCTCCATCTCCATCTCCATCTCCTCCTCCTCCTCCTCCGAGGCCCTGCAGCGCTGAAGCCATGGGCGCTTAAGTGTGGTGCCGCTGCCCCACCGCCAGCACCGCCGAACCGCGTGGTCGACGCCGAGACTGGCCGCGTGATACGAACTTTCGGGCAGTGCGCGCTCTCGAAACCAGCGTGGATTCATGCGCGTGTGCGTCCTTCTCTCGCTCCTGCTTAGAGAGGGATCGGCGGCGAGCCCGCGGGGGGGGAAAGCTTCGGGCGGTTCGAGGCTCGAGGCCTTCGGGCGTCGCAGTCGGTCCTCGGCAGCTTTCCCGCCGCGGGATGCACTCCAGCGGCTGCGCCTCGCCGAGGGCATGCCGGTTCGCCCCAAACGGCCACTGGAGAGCCGAGCTGTGACCGGAAGACCTCCAGGCGTCCGAGAAGGAGAAGGCCTTCTCAGAAGGCCCGAAAGCCCCTGGCCGTCTGAGAAGTCTTCTGAGCCTTCCCCGAAGGCGCAGCCAAACACTTCTCAGAAGGCACGAGGGGGTTCTGAGAAGTCCCGCCGCCTGCTGAGAAGGCCTTCTCCTTCTCACTTCCCCTCCTCGCTCGCCGCGGGTTGGAGGAACGGGGAGAAGCTCAAAATCTTTCGCTTCTCCCACCTTCGGGGTTTGTTACCATTGCGCCTGTCCCCGGTTCGACGAATCGAACAAACTCTCCTGGGGAAGGGGGAAGGCTTCGAAAACCTCCAACGCTTTCCACCCTTCCACCCCCCCGTCTCCCCCATGCCGATCCTGCCCCCCCCGCCCCCTTCGGCTCCCCGCTCCGCTGCTGCCCCCCCCCCCGCTCCCCCGCATCACCCCGCCGGCGCTGCGTTTTTTGAGTCTTCCCGCCCGCTAGCGCCCCAGCGCGGGCGGCGAGCTCTCGCGCGCCCTGAAGCAGCGGTCCAGCAGGCCGCCGAGGAGGGGGAGGAGGGAGGGGGGGAGGGGGGGAGGGCCCGGAGGATCCCCCAACGCCAGAGTCCCAAACATGCTCGGGTCGCGGACAAGTCACGACGGGCGGCGTTTGGCTGTAATTACTCAACCTTGCGGGGGGCCCTCGCTAGCCCCTGGGACAACAACAGAAAACAACTCAAGGCCAAAAATCAGCCCTGGGGCAAGGGTCGAGAGTTCATCAGACCCCCATATTGAGCAACTCAAGACATCGAAAACCTCGGGTTGGAACAGAGTGCGGCCATCGTGCAACGATAATGGAAGCGGAAAAAGGAACAAACGAATGATCCAACCTAGATCTAAGGAGTCGCCCGAAAACCCGAGACCCCCATGAACTCAAAATGGTCTCCACTGCAGTGCAAGGGCTGTGCAGTCAGGCTGCTACCAGCAGGAATGCGAATCGAGAGATGACGCCCCTGCCTGGCCCCAGCAGCGCCTGGGTGCACAAAGGAGCGCCAGAGGGTCAACCGTGAGAACGAGCACGAGCACGAGCACGAGCACGAGCACGAGGACGTGGAGGAAGGCGAGGAGGAGGAGGAGGAGGAGGAAGAGGAGGAGGAATCTGGGGGGGAAAGGAGGAGGAGGAGGAGGAGGAGGAGGAGGAGGAGGAGGAGGAGGAGGAGGAGGAGGAGGGGGAGGAGGAGGAGGAGCAGGAGCCCTTCCTCCTGCTCCCTGCCTGCTGTCGCCGCCCGGCCCCCCTTCCGCCTGCCCGCCCCGCCCCGCCGGCCCCCGGCCTCCCGCCTGCGCGCTCGTCGTCGTCTGCCTGCTTCTTCTGAAGGGGCCCCAGGACACACAAATAAATACACACAAATAAAAAAAATCCCCATATTTTCCCATATTTTCTGGGCTTCTGTCTTCCCCACCACTTCCCATATTTTCCCATATTTTCCTGGGAGTGGCAGGTTAATTGTGTCTGTGTGTTTTTTCCCCTCCTGATTCTTCGGCTACACGCAAGAGTGACCCTGGGTAAGAGCGACCTTTGGTGCGCGGCTTTCGGGGGGCCGCGGGGGGACCAAACGCAGGCGCGCAAGACGCTGCTGTCGCATCGCAATCGGTGCTCGGGGGACCCCATCGTGCCCGCACCAGAGGTCACTCTGGCGAAAGGTCACTCTTACGTGTAGTCCTGTTCCCCATTTCGCCGGGCAGCACAGCCTGCCCGGGAGCAGCGTGGCGGCCCGTGCAACATCCTGGCTGCACAAGGGCACCACCACCACCATCGCGAGGAGACCCAGAGGGTCCTCCTGGTGGTGTGGTTACCCCGTTTCGCGGCGTCCCGCTGGAGACGTGTCCAATCTCCAGCCCGGGGAGTCGTCGTGGGCCTCCTCGATGGAGGTGCCTGGCTGGTTGTGGTGGCACGCCTCCAGCCTCCAACAGCAGAGTGGGGGACCCGATCTCCACTCAGGACGCTCGCTCCTCCATTCTGGAAGTGCTCTCATCCATGTCGAAGGCCTCTGGGTGTTTGGGGACCTCCAGGGAGGACGAGGGGAGGGAGGTGGCAGCGTCGGCCCGCTGGAAGCTGGCGCCTGAGGTCGGCACCTGTGGGGGAAGAGCGCGAGCTTGACAACCTGGTTGGTGAGACCCTGCACCTGTTCCCCAGCGCTCTTGGCCGCGTCGATGGAGACCTTGCTCAACAAACCGTCCTCCCTGTGCCTGTGCGGCTCATGCATCGCCGTCCGCAGCCGGGTCTGCGCCGCGGCTGCGGCGTCAATCTGCTCCATCTTCTGGACGCAGTCGCGCACCATCTGATTACAGGAGCTGCGGCCATGCAAAAGCGGGGACGTCGACAGCGTGTCGATCCAGTGCTTGTTCCACAGGAGCTCCAGGATCGAGCAGTCCATGCTGTTCTTGAAGATCTCCACGGGCAGCGGATAGTACTGCTTGCAGTGGACCCCGAAATCCTCCACCTTATCCAGAGGAACCGACTGGTACTCCGAAGGACTATCACCGGGTGGGGTGTATCCTGGAGGGTACGTCCGGAAAGCTCGGATATCAACCTTACCCGCAGAGTGGGTCCGCACAGGGTCCACCACCACCGCGAGAAAGGGCTCCTGGTGCTGTTGGTACGTCATCTGCGTCTGCACATCGATACCGCTTAGCCAGCAGCCATAGCCTGGATGCGAATGGTACCACCCACAGACGTTCTCGCCCTTGCCCAACCTTTCGCACGCCTCCGTAAAGGAAACCATGAACTCGTTGGCGCCCGCGCCGGCATTGACCCGCGTTTCTGTTCCCTCCACCGGCAACGGAAAGGCGTCCATGATGACAAAAGAACCGTCGGGAGTAACCTTAAGTCGGGCGTGTCCCCATACAGGGGGATTTTCGAGGAATTGAACCATACTCAGAAAATGCTCAAATATGGTCAAACTACACTCGAACAATAGTGCCCCGACCATTGTTTAAACTATTTTTGAATATTCCTCCTCTAGAGGAACAGGCCCGACTTAAGAGTAACCTTCCCCTGCATGAGGCCCATCACCTCGCGCGGCACCCCAGACTTTGCATGCATCACTATCTTGACGAGCGCCACGGCAGACATGCGCACGAGCTTGAAGAAGTGCACGTCTTCCCTCCACGGGTGGGCCTGGTAGATCTGCTCCTGCTCTGCCTCGTCAACCTTGTACATCGCCTTGTCGTCCACCTGCTGGATTCTGTTCTCCAGCTCGAAAGTTCTCTGCGCAATGGACGATGCTGCAGAGGCCATGGGCGCAACGCTGGAAGCCCGGCCGCTGCCTCGAGCCAGAACGCCTGCGCAGGAGAGACGGCAGGAGGTGCGGTAGCAGGAGCACGGTCGGATCTGGACAGACGAACATCCTTCAAGACCATGAGACCCTCCGCCGGCCAGGCTGGAGAACCTTCGAGGGTGCCCTCCCCCGGGATGCACCAAAACATCTCACGAGCACGAAGGACACTAGGGGTTACCCCTCCCCGAGCAGACTCGGGGATCGACTGACCCGGATCACTCCAGACCCGGGTCAGTCAGGCGATACAGGATCCTGCAGAATCTTCCAGGATCCCGCGCCTCAACCCGGACCAGTGCAGCCCTGGCTCTGCAGGATCCTGCAAGATCTGGCGCTCTGCCTGGCCCCCGCTGGCATTGTGACCCTCGCCTCTCGAGCCCCGACACACCTCGATCTCATGAACCCCAGCCCGACCGTGGGAGGAGCAGGGGGTCGAGCACCAGGAGGGATGGCCTCGGATTGGGTCGGGCAAGCACTCCTACAATACTCTGAAACACAGTCAAACCATAACCAAAGCAATAGTCAAACATACTAGAAAGGTCGTACCCCAGACTATTGTTGGACCACTTGTGGATACTCCTCCTGTAGAGGGACATGCCCCACTTGAGACTTAGAGCTGGCCCTGGACGCGGGCACGCCGCCCGGGCCCGCCCGCCCCCACGTGTGGCACGACGATGACGACACCTCCACGGGCCGGCCTGGCAGCGCGCGCGGCACGCCCGGCGCCTCCCTCGCGGCGGCGCGCCCTCACGCTCGAGGTGGGGCGCACCCTCAGGAGGAGAGGCCTCAAGACAACGCAACTCTACCCCCGGCCATCGCACGGGCGTCCCTTCCCTGTGCTCTTTGCAGCTTCGTGCGTGGCTTTTTCGCAGGATGATCCAGGATGCTCCTCGATAATCCCCGCCGAGAACAGTGCACACGCCCGAGCGATAATCCAAGACCCCCGGACCCCTCCCTGCCCTCAGGGAAAACATCCCTCGGGACGGACCCCCCCTCTTGGAGCCACCGCTCCGCCGCTCAGGGCGCCCCGCTGCGAGCCGCCTGCGCGAGGCGCGAGACGCGCGACGCACGCCCCGCGCTCCCGCACGAGCCGCCCCCCCGGGGGAGGATCAGCGGAGGACAGCTGCGCAGGGACCGGAGCCGAGCCGCGGAGCGCGCGAGGGCGGGGAGATCGCTTCGGGCCCTCGAGGGCGCCCCTGGAGACGGAGGAGTTCGGAGTCCCGAAGCGGTGCGGTGACAGACCGCGCGGTGACCTCGGAATCCCCCAAGACCTCACCGCGCGGTCCGTCAGCGCACGGTTCTGGGACCTTGGATGCCCCAGTCGCCCGAGGCGTCCCCGGAGAGCGCCCGAGTCCCAAAACCCTGCGGTGACCCCGAATCCCCACCGACTCACCACACGGTGTGTTCACCACCCCGTTTGGGGGCCCCCGAAAGAGGGAGGGAGGAAGGTGACGGGGACCGGGACCAGCGAAGACGACGGAGGAGGGGCCCCGCCGCAACGAGGAGCACGAGGAGGAGGAGGAGGAGGAGCAGGCAGCGGGACGGGATGGAGCGAGAGATGCTGGAGGGGCGCAGGGAGTGGGCACAGAGGGTCGAGGGAGTGAGCCAGGAGGGAGGGAAAGGGGAGAGGAGGGAGCAAGAAGGAGGACGAGCGACATGTGCAGGAGGCGGAGTGGCGCGAGCACGAGGACGATGCCGAGGAAGGCGCAGAGAGGGAGGGGGCCGATTTCTCTGTCCACAGAGAGGGCCGCGGCGGTCCTGCGCACGGCTTCGAAGCCGCAGCAAAAACAACTTGGGGCTCGTGGCGCCTCCCCGCGCCCGGTCAGTTACAGAGGAGCAGCGGAGGACAGCGTGGCGGACACAAAGCGTACACTGCGATGGGTCGCGAAGCAGGGGCTACAGATCGGCTCCACGGGTAACACGACAGGGCTGGACCTGAACGTTGCTTTTCGTGTTGGTGTCGTTTTGTGTTTTGTTTTGCTCGACCTGTTTTCCTGTACCTCCCTGCCAAAACGAAAAACAACATTCAGTCGAAGTCCAGCAACACAGCATGTAGGCCCAGCCCTGTAACACGACATAGCGGTGTCGGCCGCCGAGAGATGCACATTATCTCTGAGCTGGCGTGGCGAGCTCTGCAGATCCGCTACTGCGATTCTGGCTGCTCTGGAAGATTGCACGCGCGCGAGCTACACCTACGGCAGGATGGGGCCCCGCAAGGCGAGGAGTAGACCGAGGACCGGTAATGCGAGAGGGCAACGGAAGACGAGCAGCAGGCGAATGAGGCGGGGAAGCATGGTAAACGAAGAGGGGGGCGGGTCGAAATTTGAGAAGGGAAGCGGTAGGCAGAAGAGGACGGAACGGCGTCGAGAGGTGGAGTGATGTAAAGCCAGTGCACGTGTTTGTACATCTACGTCGCAAGACATCGGCATGATGCCCTGCTGACCTGGTGACGCGAGGAAGGGGCGAAGAAACCGTGCCCGCCCTTGAACGGTGGGCCTCGTGTGCCCAGGCCATCCGCAGTGTGTGTAGCGTTCCAATCAAAAGGCCGTGCAAAAACGCCTCAACAACGCCGTGCTAGAATCCGTTACGGCAAGCTCGCGTCGTAACGACCCCTGCGGTGGCTTGTGACACAGCGAGAATCGTCCAACCTTGAACAAACGGCGCATTCTCCGTTGCCAGATCACCACATTGAACTAACCGGTGCGGGGACACTGGCGGCTTCTCAAACTCGAACACCAACGCTGGGATCGCCGCCGCGTCGACACGACGCGGACCTGCCGCAAACATCTCGCAATCCGGGCTCATCCGCGAAGAGTGCGTCACAGATCACCGAGCCAGACCGCGGGGCTGCCGAGGATGCCTCTGGCGCGTCCACCGTTCCGAATCTCTGCGCCGTCTTTCAGGGGCGTTCGAGAGGGGGGCGTCCAAAATTGGGGGGGTGGCGGATCAAATCATGCCTGGGGGCATGTGCGCGGCGCAGGGGGGGGGGGTGCGGGGGACGCACTGAAATAAGAAGAGGCGCCAGGGAATCTGGGGAGGCATTATGGCCCCCGCCATGGGATCCTGGCCGCCCCCCGAATCTTGCGTGAACTGAGAACAGGCTGCACTTGCCCGGGAAGAGCATCGCGGCCGGAAACTGCTGCCTAGCGCGCCGCGGCGGCGGCACCCAATGCGCTCTGAGAGCGGATGGCGTGTCGCTCCGCTCGGCGGGACCTGTTGAAGTGGTTGGCGCTAAGACGGCGCCAGGACGAGGACAACATCGGGTGAGGCTGAATCCCGAATATCTGAACCCCCAGCGGCTCTGGAGGATGTCGCGGGCGCCGCGGCCTTCTCAGAGCACTCTGGAACGCTCTGAGAGCCTTCTGGAACGCTCTGGACCGGATTTATTATCGTCCTAGCCCCCTCCTCCTCCTCGTTGTCCTCTTCCTCTTCCTCCTCCTTCTCCTCCTCCTCCTCGAGGGAGTCTGGTACGTTTTCGCGTTGGTCGCGAGAGCTTCGAGCTTTGGCAGTGCCTCTAGTGGGCCAGAACCAGCGGCGCGACGGGCTGAGCCAGAGTTCTGGGCTGCAAAATATGCGTGGCGCCATGTGTTTTTTTCCAGTGCTCTGGGAGGCTCACGGCGCCTCGTCTTGCAACCACATTGCGTGAGCATCACCTGGTGAGCGTTTCTTTGTGCGGCTGTTCGACATTGGGCGGAAGGGGGGGGAGGGGGGGGGTCTGGCTCTGGGCCTCTGCTGAGTGCGACTGTTTGAGACAGTGCGTGCAGTCGGGCCCAGGCCAGACCTCGCACAGCACATCCAGGGGGTACCCTCCCCAGGATGCACAGGAAGGTCCAACAAGCACGAAGAACATGTGGGCATCCTCCCCGAACCGACCTCGATCTTGTACCTCGGTTTATGTTGTTCCCATCCTACTTAAGGACCGCATCCCAGAAGTAATTTCGAGCACCCGGAAAAGTGTCGAAAGAGTGTCTCCCAGGGCCCGACACGTGAAAATCCTAGAGTTTTGGGGCGTTTTCGTGGTGCTCGAAATTCATTCTGGTGATCGAGGCTAAAGTAGGTTGGAACATCATAAACCCCGGTCCGACTGCACCGTGCTGTGCCGCACTGTGTGCTCGGGGAGGGAGGGGAGGAGCGGGGGGCTCGAGGTGCGCAGAGGCGCGTGTCCCTGAGGCACTGGGGAGGATCCTCACACAGCCTGGTTGGAACTCACAGCTTGCTCTACCAGCCTCGAACTTATCCATATCCCTAAGATTGACACGCCAGAAGGCGACGACAATCTGAGGGATGCGCCCTTAAAAGATAAGGGAATCCCTAATGTTGGCATCGTGATGAGGAGATGCCCAGCGTAGGGATAGGGATATGTTCCAGACTGGTAATTGCTCCCCTCATTCCTTCGAAGTGTGAGGAACGACTCATCAACCACAGCCTGAAAACAGCAGGCAAAGTGTGAGGAAACAAACATGGTACCGATACCGCTACTCTCCCGACCTCTCCCGGTGAGAATTCTGACAAGAATTTCGAGACGAGTCCAGCCGTGGTGACGCGGACCGCCCAGGAGGCCAAAATTAACTTGGCGAAGGACTCAACCATGTGCAGCTGTGTACCGCAGTTGTGGGTATCGTATGCGGAGGAGCTCCCTATGGGCAACGAAAGGCTGTACTGGGCGGGGGAGACGCATGCGAACTGTGCCACTGGGGCCTTCGGTGGAGCTCCCCATGGGGCCACGAAACGCTGTGCTGGGTGGGGGGGGCGCATGTGAATGGGTCCAGTGGGGCCGTCCTGCGCTGGGTGGGGATACGCGTGTGGACACAGTCACTGGGGCCTAGGTGGAGCCCCCTTATGGGCCCACAAAGCGCTGTGCTGGGTGAGGGGGGACGCATGTGGACACCGTCGCCTGAGGTGGAGCTCCCTATGGGACCGAAGCGCTGTGCTGGGTGGGGGGCTGGGTGGGGGGGGCGCATGTGGACACCGCAACTGGGGCTTTATGTGGAGCTCCCTATGTTGCCACGAAGCGCTGTACCGGGTTGGGGAGACGCATGTGGACACCGCCGCGAAGGCCTTAGGTGGAGCTCCTGATGGGGCCACGAATCGCTGTGCTGGGTGGGGGGGACGCATGTGGACACCGCCACTGGGGCCTTCGGTGGAGCTCCCTATGGGGCCACGAAGCGCTGGGCTGGGTGGGGGGACGCATGTGGACCGTCACTGGGGCCTTCGGTAGAGCTCCTGATGGGGCCGCGAAGCGCTGGGCTAGGTGGGGGGGACGCATGTGGACACTGCCTCTGGGGCCATAGGTGGAGCTTCCTATGGGGCCAGGAAGCGCTGTGCTGGGTGGGAAAGACGCATGTGGACACCGCCACTATGGCCTTCAGTGGAGCTCCCCATGGGGCACGAAGCGCTGTGCTGGGTGGGGGGACGCATGCGGACACCGCCACTGGGGCCTTAGGTGGAGCTCCCCATGGGGCCACGAAGCGCTGTGCTGGGTGGGGACGTGGGGGGGGACGCATGTGGACACTGCCTCTGGGGCCATAGGTGGAGAGCCCTACGGGGCCACCAAACGCTGTGCTGTGTGGGGGGGACGCATGTGGACACCGCCACTGTGGCCTTAGGTGGAGCTCCCTATGGGGCCACAAAGCGCTGTGCTGGGTGTGCCGAAGCGCGTGGCGATGATAGTGAGATTGACGGCGATGCTGATGACGATGGTGATGGTGACGGCGATGATGATGATGATGATGATGATGATGATGATGATGATGATGATGATGATGATGATGATGATGGTGGTGGTGGTGGTGGTGCTGATGATGATGATGATGATGCTGCGGATGATGATGCTGCTGCTGTTGCTGCTGCTGCTGCTGATGATGTTGATGGTTATGAAAATTGCGATGCTGGTAATGATGATGATGCTTCTGCTGCTGCTGATGATGATGATGATGATGATGATGCTGATGTGGATGATGATGCTGATGCTGATGATGATGATGATGATGATGATGATGATGATGATGATGATGGTGATGGTGATGGTGATGGTGATGGTGATGATGATGATGGTGATGATGATGATGATGATGATGATGATGATGATGATGATGATGATGATGGAGGGAGCGAGGGGAGGGTGATGGGAGGAGGGAGGAGGGGGAGGAGGAAGGAAAGAAGGAGGGAGGAAGGAACGCGGGGCGCAGTCTCTTCAAAACGAGGACCCAACACCACAGGATGGATTGGGAAAAAAGAAAAAGAGGGAGGGGTAGAGGTATGGGTACCTTTGCCTCCTCTGAGGCTGAGGACGATGGCCAACCAGTGCTTCGAGCACTCGGACGACAGCCAGCCAGTGCTTCGAGCACTCGGCAGAGCATATCCGTTCGAACCTGCTGGGGCTCGCTGGGAGTGACAGCAAGATGCACGGGCAATGCGCGGCATGCGCCCACTCCGTGCCACGCAGGCATTGCACAGGCATCTCTTCGGAGAGCAAAGAGCGCTGCGGCTGCTGAGCTGCTTCGGCGGAAGCCGAACATGCTTACTCGCTGGGACCCGCAAGGCAATGACCGGGGAGACGCAAGAATCGCGTTCGGGGGGCTCCGGTTTGCCAGACGGGGCCATCACGAAAATGACCAGGCCCAATCTGAAATTCGACGCGAGCTCCCGCTGTAAACATCCCACGAAAGCTGAACCGTCGAAACCCAGGACGCGCTCCTCAAAAAGCGTCGGCAAGCCCGAGTTCGACGCGTACTCGAGCCTTGCGTCTCCCCGAAATGAGCCAGATTGCCAACACGGCCGGATCAGACCCGTCGCCAGGGTGGCGGAAGGAGGAGGAGGAGGAGGAGGAGAAGGAGGAGGAGGAGGAGGAGGAGGAGGAGAGGAGGAGGAGGAGGAGGAGGAGGAGGAGGAGGAGGAGGAGGAGGGAGGAGGAGGAGGAGAGGAGGAGGGGGAGGAGGAGGAGGAGGCGGGGGAGGAGGAGGGGGAGGAGGAGGAGGAGGGGGAGGAGGGGGAGGAGGAGGAGGAGGAGGAGGAGGAAAACAAAAAAAGGAGAGGACACGCCCTCTCAAACTCCGCGGGCCCCCCTTCGTGGCGGGGCCGCGAGGCCGAGGCTTTCGCTGCGCGCGGGGCCGTCTGTCTCATGCGGGTGGATCGCCGTGGGCGCCGGACGCCATGCGCGCTGGTCGCCAGCAAGGCCTGACGCGCGTGAGCTTTTGCTGGACAGCACGCACCAACGCGTGCAGGGAGATCGTGCATAAGTGCGCCCCCCCTGGCTCGGAAGCGGTGCTGCAGCCTTCCCCGACCCGCCGTCTCCCAGAAGCGGTGGCAGCACGTGATCGAGACGGACGACCTCCCAGAGGACAGAACCCAATGAAGTCGGTTTCCCGGGGCTCCCCAGAGCCCTCAGACGGTCCTGAAGGACTCAACCGAGCTCCTGTGACCCCCCCCGAAGACGGCCCAAGACCGCTCCACGAGAGCCTCAACACAGCGTGAAGAACGCGAAATCATGAAATGGAAGATCGGGCGAAGAAGAGGAAGGAATCGAGGCTGGAGCTCGTAAGCACGAGGCAACAGACATGGACAGGGTGTTTAAGACCTACGCTCGTTCAGACAGGGCGCTGCTCTGGAGTGGGTCTTGAACTCATTCTCCTCATCCTCCTCCATGCTGCGGCGCTGTGCTGGCACAACGGCGGGGCTTGCCGCAGGCAGCTGGATAGACGGAAAGAGCCCGTCCTCCCAAATCAGCTTCTGGTCGCCGAACCAGGAGCATGGAGCGATGATCGCAAGCTAGCTTATCGTATGAACAAATTTAAATCATGCAATGCGGGGCTCGTGGGCCACACCGAAAGTGACGTCACAGGGAACGGACTACGTACAACATGAAGCGGCCGAGAGATGCGAAAGGCAGAGGGTGCTGCAAAAATCATCAACGTTGAAACATGGATGGCACGCCTCGCGCAGATCGTAAACCTGTTCGGCACCCTGCAAACGAGTCGAGACGGCACCATGTGTATAATTACCGTCTCACGCCAACTCTACCATCGACGCGCTCAACCGCCGCCCTGCAATTTCTCCGTTGAATTGTAGCAGATCCGCCACCGTGCTGCGAAGCACGAGATGGAGTGTGTATAAAGGGCCCAGGCCCCCCAAATTTCTTTGAGAGAATTGCGTACCCCCGCGTGCAGGCGCGCGTTCCTGCGCCATTTTTCCAGAGGCAAGAGGGCCCCAAGACGGACCACGAGAGTCCCAAGATGCCCATGAGATGGTCCAAGAGAGTCCCGAGACGGCCCCAGGACGCTCGAAGACGCACAAGATGGCCTCCAGGCAGCCCGCGAGGCCCCCAAGACGCCCAAGGAGGTCTCCAAGAAGAGCCCTGCGAGAGTCCCAACAAGTAAAGATCATTGATGTTCCATCGGTTCTAATAGAATTGTAGCATCCTCTTTTCTGGCCTCTAGCGCTCCAAGACGGCCAAAGAGGCCGCAGAGATCGCCCCAAGACGGCCCAAGAGAGCCCCAAGACAGCTCAGCGACCCCCAAAACGGCCCGCTCAAGTCCGAACCAAGATGACCCCCAAGACCGGCACCAGGCCTCCCCCAGAAGCCTCAGGAGGGCCCCACGAGTCCCCAATTAAGATCCAGGGGGGCCCAAAGAGGCCCCACCACACCTCCACAATCGCCCCTCTGAGAGGCTTCCGAACGGCCTCCCCAAGCATCCCCACAGGCATCCAAGAGGCACTGGGCGGCCTCAGCGGAGGCGGCCGCTGCGCGTGCAGGGGCAATGGTCTTACTATTCGGCCCGGGGGGGAAGTGAGAAGGGGCGGGCCTTCTCAGAAGGCTCGAAGTCCCCCGGCCTTCCGAGAAGTTGCCTGAGCCTTCCCCGCGAAGACGCAGCACACCTCTGAAGGCCTCCGGCCTTCTGAGAAATCCCGCCACCTTCTGAGAAGGCTCTCTCTCTCTCATCCCCCCCCTCGCTCGCCGCCGATAGGAGGCGAAGGCTTGAGGCCCTTCAGCTGGAGGTGTCATAGCTCTGGGGGCCGCCTCGAATGCGGGCCAGACCGCGCAGGGGGACATGCCGCCAGCAGGGTACAGCACCGACTCCATGGATCCGCGCTGACCTTCTGAAGCCTGACGCTTATGCCAGCTTTTGTTATTCTTAGAGGCCTCCCAGATGGGGTCGCAGTAAGTGAGGTCGGAGGATCGCACCAAATCGCCGATGCATCGGCGACGTCGGCGATGCATCGGCGAAAATTGGGATCCACATCGAGCCGCATCGCCTACGCACCGGCGATGCGGCGCGGTCCTCCGACCCCATTTGCTCATCCCGAATCTGGGTGGCCTAAGTAATCGCGGCAACCTCTCATGACCCAAACCACGGATCATGACCTGACGCATCGTAGAGAACCAGGTTGCAGCCCAGCAGCGCCTCGGACACCTCCTCGGACCAGCTCCGCACGAGGTCCAGCCCGTCCTGCGCCCCAGACCCTCGACATCATGATCTGTTTCTCGGGGGCGGCCAAGGGGGGGGTGTCCAAGAGGGGGGGATGCAAATCATGGCCGGCGGCATGTGCGCGGCCCAGGGAGGGGGGCCAGGGACGTAATGAAATAAGAAGAGGCGCCATGAAATCTGAGGAAAAATCATGGCCCACGCCATGAAATCCCCCCCCCCTAGTCATCACCCCCCTCTTTGTCGCCCCCGAGTTTCTTAACGTCGACCCCCCGGGAGGTCTAGGCCCTTTCCCCAGGACCGGCTTCCCATCCAGGAGCCCTTGTTTGACGGCCCCGAGGCCTGGCACGGGCCCCCGGGGCCTGCAAAAAGCGAAACACCTCCCGGCGCGATCTTGTCCGGGGCCGCGAGGTGGAGCCCGTCCTGCGCCGCCTCCTCGGACAAGGCCGCCTTCATCTCGTGCACCTTTCGGCGGCGGGCGAGGGGGGGAAGGGAGAAGGGGCGGGCCTTCTCAGAAGGCTCGGACGTCCCCTGGCCTTCCGAGAAGCTTTCTGAGCCCCCCCCCGAAGACGCAGAAGGCTTCTCAGAAGGCGCGAGGGCTTCTGAGAAGCCCCGCCACCTCCTGAGAAGGCCTTCTCCTTCTCACTTCCCCCCCTCGCTCGCTGCAGGATTTGGTTTTTGGGCCATAACTCGGGTCTCATGCGGCCGTTCGGGACGATCCCGGCACCCACGAAACGCCCGCGGCGAGGCGCAACTGCTGGCAAGCATCCCGTGGCTGAAAAACCTCCGAAAACCGACGAAAACGTTTGAAAACCTCGAACCTCGAACCCGAAAAATTCCCTCCCCCGCTCGCCGCCGAACCTTCATCCGCAACTTCGCGACGTCACAGCCGAAGGACCTCGTGCTTTGGACGCCCGAACTGGGTACGGAAGAAGCGGGTACAATACCCAACAACTAGAGATGTCTCAAACCAACAGCGGCCGCTGTTGGACAGGCGGCCGTTTGTCTCAAATGGACACAAGCCGCGGCGGCGCGGACCGCGAGTCATGTTCAAAATGAAAATGAGAATATACAAAGAGGCACCGATACCGCTACTCCCTGGCCCTCTTCTGGGGTGCGCGCTGACCATGAATCCCGAGGCGAACCCAGCGGTGGCGACGATGGCCCCCCCCGGAGGGCGAACAAGGGGGGAAAAGGGGCGAATGATACCGGCATGGGTACCCCAAAGGTCCGATGTCGTGATTATACGAAATACGGAGTCCCCGCAAAGCTCGACCCATTCCCCAGGACCGGCTTTTCATCCTGAGTCGCTTCCTGTCGGTCCCGGGGCCCGGCGAGGGCCCCTGGAGCCCGAAAGCCGCGAAACCCTCCCCCTCGCAAGATTTTGTTCATGACTCGAGGGGCATGGCGCCCAGTTTTGCCGTACCCGTTTCGCTCGTGCTGACGTGCTGCCCCCGCGGGCGGCCCCGCCGTCGCTCGCCCAGCAGGCCGCCTCGGCGGCCCCGCGCGCCGAGACGCGCCTGCGGGGCGCCGGCCCCAGCGCGTCGGCCTCCTGCAGGGAGGACGCCGGGAGGGGGGGGGGTACGAGCAGGGGGAGGAGGAGCGGGAGGAGGAGGGAGGAGGAGGGGAGGAGGGGGAGGACTGAAGAGGAGGAGGAGGAGGAGGAGGAGGAGGAGGAGAGGAGGAGGTAGGAGGAGAGGAGGAGGAGGAGGAGGGGGAGGAGGGGGAGGGAGGGGAGGAGGAGGGAGGGGAGGAGGGAGGAGGAGGAGGAGGAGGAGGAGGGGGAGGAGGAAGTAGGAGGGGAGGAGGACGCCCGAGAAGTGTGCGGGCTCTCGGAGGTACGATGTTCCGACTTGCTTTTGGCCTTGATGTGAGCTCCCAGACCCCCTCGAGCCATGAAACAACATTACGACGGGAGGTTTTTCGCTATGTTCGGCCTCCAGGGGCCCTTACCGGGCCCCAAGACCGTCAAATAACGACTCAGGGTGAGAAACCGGTCCCGGGGAAGGGGTCCGAGGTTGTGAAAAAATCACCACGTCGGGGGTCTGGGGACGCCCGAAAGGGGTACATGCTTGTGGAGATATGATGTTCCGACTTGCTTCACCCTCGATCTTATTGGCGACACGCACAAGGGGGTGGAGGGAGGGGGGAGGGCTTCTTAGAAGGATGCTGCTTTGTAAAAGGCAGCGGCCCTGTATACGGATAAAGCCCGCGCCTTCTAAGAAGCAGGGGTGCTTCTAAGAAGCCCTCCCCCCTCCCCCCACCCCCCTCTGCGCGTGGCCGAACTCCGTGCGCGAGATGACATGGCGACCGTACGCGGTGGCTTACGCGGGCCGCCAGCGCGCTACGTTTAACTAGAGACGAGGGCGCTTACGCGCGAGATTACGCGGGCAACTTATGCGCCACTGTCGGCGCAGACAAGCATGTTTTCTTGCGTCGCTCAGTTGGCCCCAGAAACGGTGTAGGGAGGTTTCTCATCTTCTCCGGAAAGATGTCTCGAACATGGAAGCGGTAATACAACGGCAACCAGTAACAACAACAACAACAACAACAACAACAACAACAACAACAACAGCAACAACAACAACTGCCCCTGAAATGGAACCAAAGCCGGAACCGGCAACAACAATGGCGACAGAACCGGCAAACAACGGCGTCGGAAACGGCAACAAAAATGGCAAAACGGGACCGGTAGCAGAAACGGCCCTGTCGTTGCCAGGGACCACGGAGGCCTTGAACACAAGAATGTCGAGCACCAAGGAAGTACCAACACTGGATAATGTTTTCTCGTGTCGGGCCCTTCGCTAGCGTGTCGGGCAGTCAGCGTTTCGATACTTTTCGCAGGGTGCTCGGACTTGTTTCTGGGATGTGGTCCTTGAACAAAACGGGAACAGCATACCCCTCAATCGGAAGAAATAGGTAGACACATGAAGTAGGAAGGCGTTGAAAATATATTGGATTTACACATGCTCCCTGGGAGGACGGAACAGAAGAAGCCACTTGATCATTGAAGTAGGAAGGCGCTTACGGTTGACTGGAATCTAAGACTCCAAAAATACTTTCAACTACGGATGGGTAATTGTGGAGTCACAGCCGCGGACAGCGGATCGCCAGAAAGGCATGTTCCAGCACCCTTCCGAAGGACCTGGGGGGAAACTCTTGGAAGGAGCTTCCGAAGGACTTCTGGAAAACTTCACGGCACTTTTTGTGTCGGCGGCTAGGCAGGGAACGTCTGCGCTGGCGATGAGATGAAACTTCACGGCGCACGTGGAATGAAAAACATCAACAAAAGGGGGGAACACGGGCGAGGGATATCGGCATGGATACCTTGTCCTCGTCCGATATCGTACCCACTCTTTCCTTACAGTCGAACCTAGGACATAATAACATCCGTCAAGAACATGAGACCCTCCGCTGGCCAAATCGCACAGAACATCCAAGGGTGCCGTCCCCAAGGTGCCAAAGCCCGAACCGTCTTCGACCTTTGACCTCGGTCCGGAGTTACGGACAAATTGGTACGATGTCCAACATCAGATGCGGTCCCAAACCGACAGCGGCAGCTCGAGTGGCACACTCCGAGGCGGCGCGGACAGCGAGTCCTAAATGAGCAAGAACTGCTGTACACGAAGACACCGATACCGCTACTACCGGGTCCTCTCCTGGGGTGCGCTCTGACCATGAACCCAGCGGTGGCGACGAGGGGCCCTCCGCGATGGGCGAACAAGGGGGAAATCGGGCGAAGGATAGCGGCATGGGTACCCCAGAGATCCGATGTCGTGTTTTTGTTCAATACGGAATCCCCGCAAGTCTCGACCAGGACCGGTTTTTCATCCTGAGTCGTTTTCTGTCGGTCCCGGGGCCTGGCGAGGGCCCCTGGAGCCCGAAAACTGTGAAAAAACTCCGTCTTGTTTTTGTTTCAATGCGCTGGATCTCTGGGACTGTTCCCTCCTGCGATTGCGTACCCATTCTTTCCATACCCACGTCGTTTGATGGGCCTGTTTTCCACTACCACTACCATAAGGTCGGAGGGGAGGGAAGAAGGTGGAGAGGAGGATGAAGAGGAGGAGGAGGAGGCGGAGGAGGAGACGAGGGATGGGGGAGGAGGAGGAGGCGGAGGAGGAGGAGGAGGAGGAGGCGGAGGAGGAGGAGGAGGAGGAGGAGGGGGAGGAGCCCCACCCCCCTCCTACTTTTATGGTAGTGGTAGCGGAAAGCAAGGCCAGCATCGCTCGCACCGAGCCTCGCCGGTCGAGGAGTGCAGCACCGCCCGGAGCGAGGCCAACGTGTCGGCCTCGTCGGCGGGCTCGGGCACCCCGCCGCGCGGTCCCCGCGCCGAGATGAGCTGGGGCGGCTCGGACCAGAACCTGTCGGGAGGAGGAGGAGGAGGAGGAGGAGGAGGAGGAGGAGGAGGAGGACAAGGAGAGCGATGTAGGGGACGGTAGGGGAAGGAGGAGAGGGAGGGGGGGAGGAGGTAGGGGATGAGATGAGATGCGACGACTCCCGGGAGGACAGTCCAAGGAGGGAGGGGCCAGCCCAAGACAAAGAGGAGGAGGCCTTGGCAAGAGCGGTTCACGAGGCTGGGTCAGGGGATTGTAGCCGGATTTGGGCCGGAAGAGCAGCCCTCAAAAGAGCGGGAGGCCGTCCGCCGGCCAGAACCAGCAGAGCATCCGCGGGTACCCTCCCCGGGATGCAAGAGAGCATCCACCAAACACGACGAACACCACTCCGAGCTCCTTCATAAGCGTCGGGGGGGGGGTCACCCCCGCCGACGGCCCCACATCGACCGCCGTCGCGGGCAGCCACCCTGCGCCGAAGGCGCTCCGACCCCCGTCGCGGCGCGACGACGAGGCGAGGCTGACCCCCGTCGGGGGGGGGCCCAACGCTTATCCAGAAACCCACAATAGGGAGCCCTCCCCGAACCGACCTCGACCTTATACTTACACCTCGGTCCGACTCTATACCGCATCAGGCTGTGCGACCACAGCGCCGATGCTGAACTTGGCCTCCCAGGAGCTGCATCCCAAGGAGGAGGCGGAGGAGGAGAAGGAGAAGGAGAAGGAGCAGGAGGAGGAGGAAGACCTCTCTGGGCTGGCGCCCCGCGCCGAGAGGAGCTGCGGCGGCTCGGAGCGGTAACCCCTGGGGTCCTCGCGGGTGTTTGTCGAAGGTTCGGTCGGGCATGTCCTCCTACAGGCGGATTCTGGGCGAACATTAAAGAGTAGTTTAAACTATAAAGAAGAGCGGTCTAACATAGTCAAACAATCGTCCCAATCCTATTAGTTGATTAATTTTGGATATTCCTCGTGTAGAGGGGCATGCCCGACTTGAGTCACGGGGGGGGAGCCAGTGCACGTGGGTGACTTGGCCGTCGCTCGGACGTCCATTCCCTGTGTACTTGTCGGTCTCGTGCGCGCGCTGCTCTCGCAGGGTATGATCCAGGATGCTCCTCGATGGCCGCCGCCGAGGAAAAATACGCACACGTCCGAGCGATGCCAAGGTGGAGAAGCACGTGCCCTTCCTGCTCACCCTGGGCCCGCGGTGGCCGCTGCGGGGCCGCTGTGGGACCCCTCTCGGACCGCTTCTCTCACGGCGAGCCTCGACCCCCCCCCCCCTTCATGCCCCCCCCCGTTGCCGCCCGCCGATCCTGGGGAGACCACGAGGTACCGAGAACGTTGCGTTCAACGCGTATCGCAAGGATGCGCGGTAGGGATGCAAGCCCCTTGGACGCCGAGTTTGAAGTGCTTTGGGCTGGGGACGGCCGAAGGATGGGCCGAACAGGCTAGAATGCAAGGGTGCCCTCAACCTTACCACACGCGTTGAGTGTACTGCCCAAACCTCTCCCGGGGTGCGTTCCGACCAGGATTCCGAGGCGAATCCAGCGGTGGCGACAAGGGCCTTCCAGGAGGCTCCACAAAGGGGGAGACAACGACTGGAAGGGCAGCGGGTGATCGGTTTTTTTTCCTCCTCATGAGGTCCTTGCGGCGGGCGCGGCGCACGACGTCGGGCAAGCGGGGCCCACTGGCGGCGGCGGGGGCGCCGTCCGCAACGGTCCTTCGAGCAGGGGGTCGACTGCAGGATTGGTGTACGTACCCCAAAACTTGATTTCCTCTGCCAATCTACACACATGCGCAGGATGAACCATGGATCTACGGGACGCCCTGCGTATTTTGTTGGATTCGCAGGGGGGGGTCAATTTTGGGGTAAATCTAAGGAGGCGAAAAGGTACTGATACTGCTACTCCCTGGACCTCTCCTGGGGTGCGTTCTGATCAGGATGTCGAAGCGAATCCAGCGGTGACGACGAGGGCCTCCCAGGAGGCTCCTCCTCCTCCTCCGTTCTGATCAGGATGTCGAAGCGAATCCAGCGGTGACGACGAGGGCCTCCCAGGAGGCTCCTCCTCCTCCTCCTCCTCCTCGACGACGAGGGCCTCCCAGGAGGCTCCTCCTCCTCCTCCTCCTCCTCCGCCTCCAACTCCTCCTC